TAACTATCCATCCACACATCTGCTTACCCAATCCATCTATCTATCATCCATCCATCCACATACCCACCCAATCCATCTATCCATCCACACAGCCCCCCACCCCATCCGTCTATCCATCCAACCAATCATCTATCCATCCATTCATCCACCTACCCTATCTATCTATCCACCTACTCATCTTCCCAATCCATCTGTCCATCCACACCGCCACCCACCCAATCCACATATCTATTCATCCACACATCCACCCACCCAATCCATATATCCATCCACCCACCCAATCCATATATCCATCAACCCACACATCCACCCACCTAATCCATCTATCTATCATCCACCCATCCACATACCCACCCAATCCATCTACCCATCCACACAGCCCCCCACCCCATGCATCTGTCCATCCATCCAACCAATCATCTATCCATCCATTCATCCACCTACCCTATCTATCTATCCACCTACTCATCTACCCAATCCATCTATTCATCCACACACCCACCCAACCAATCATCTATCCATTCCATCCATGCAATCACACACCCATCCATTCACACACTTACCCAATCCACCACCCATCCATCAGTTCATCCATTCAGAAAACACTTCCAAAGCACCTGCCCTGTACCAGGCCTCAAAAGATGGGGGTGATACAGAGCCGGCCCAGGATTGTCAGAGTCACAGAGGAGGTCTCAAGTGTGTAGGCAGCCACGCGTGGTGGTGCACACCTGTAATGCCAGCACTCAGGAGGCTGAGGCAGGAGGATCATTGTGAGTTTGAGACCAGCTAGGGCTACAAAGTGAGCTGAAGGCGAGCCTGAACTGCATGGCGAGACCCTGTCTCAAAAAGATGAAATAAATAAATAAATACGTAGGGAAAGCAGAGGTTCAGCTCTGGCCTCCTGCCTGTGCCTCTTGGGTGGTCGCAGGGTTCCTGGAGAGCTCAGTCCATGATGCAGTGACCTCTGCTGAGTGCCCCCTACTGAGTGGTCCCCAAGGTCCACCAGGCTTGGCCAGCTCAGAGGAGTGAGCTTCGTGGCCATCCCGGGTGTCTTGGCTCTGTCTAGCAGGAGAGGCTGAAGGGCTGAGCCTGGAAAGACAAACCCTAGGTCTCTCCGCAGCAAGGGAGACTGCAAGGTAGCCTCCTGAGACCTGCAACCCGCAGGAGGGGCCCCGAGGTGGGCCTGTCTGGGGCTGACCTCAGAGGGCTTCAATGTGTCATGTGGGTGAGGACAGGACAGTGTGTCCAGGCCAGAGAGCCCTGAGATGGGCACTGCCCAGCACTTCCAGAGTCAAGTCCCCAGCTCTGGTCAGGAGCGGTCCTGGCCCAGGGCTTTCCTAGCAAAAACCTTCATACCTCGCCTGTTTTGATTTCCAAACATGCAGAGTGTCCCCACTGCAGCGGGCTCCACATTTTCAAATTGCTCCACCCCATGTGATGGAAGGGCCACCACCCAGGAGCCCAGGGAGGAGTGGCTGCCTCTGCTGGCCCTGCGGTTTCCGAGGTCAGGGCATCAAGCTTTCCTAAGGTGCAGGTCCAAGGCACCCTCCAGCGCTCACCAGCCATCTCTGCTGCCTCACTGCCTCTGCATGGGTTAACAGGTTTGCATTCACACCCTGTACCGTGACCCATGGTGGCAGATTCGTCCTCCAGCACAGAGACCCCTCTCCCCTAGCTGCTCACACTTCAACATGCACCCCACCAGCCCCGTGCACCATTTTCCCTCCTCTCCCTGGCGCGAGGCCTCCTCTCTCCTGTTCCTCCAGGATCAGAGTTCTATGGTCCGTCCCGCCCCTGAGCCCTGTGTGTCAGTTCCCGGGCGCTGGCCGCTGGACTGTGCTTGCTGCTGTCCTCATGACAGGTCTTTCTGATGCTGCTGGCCCCTTGGACACCACAGCCCAGCTGCACCCTCACCTCCTGTGACTGTGGCCAGAGGGGTAGGGAGCCCCGTCCAGCCCTAGCCCAGGAGGGCCCTGGCGCCTGAGCCCCACACCTCTCCAGCAGGCACAGCCCATTCTGCTGGGCCCTCAACACCCTCACTTCCGTGTTCCGTGCCTGCAACTTGCTCTCAGGGATTAGCTGGCCTTGGTTCAGCTCGCACAGAGGGTGGCAAGTGGCAGAGGGACGCCTGAAAGGGTGGCAGGAAGGGCCACGTGAGAACCGCGGTCATCCGTGACCAGTTATGGAGCCAAGATGCGTGGGAGCACATTGGTGACGCAGGGGTGACGCCCCCACTTCCAGCAGTGTGCGCTGGAGGACCTGGTGGCAGCAACACAGAGGGACTTTCATCCGCTAGAGCTGTTCAGCGGAAACACCGCGTGGCTCTGGGGAGGCCAAGTTCCCAGCCTGGTGCGGCTTCTCGTCCCACCATGGCCCTGGCTCAGGCAGCAGGCTGTGAGAGACCTGCGCTTTGGGAAAGCCTGATGCCCTGACCCTCAGAAACCACAGGGCCAGCAGAAGCGGCCACTCCTCCCTGGGAAAGCCTGGCACGGCCCATGCCTGGAGGCCACTGGAGGCCTCTGCCCTGCAGATAGCCACACCACTGCCTCTGGCAGGCAGCACCCTGATACATCGTGCTCAGGATGAAAGCACCCCACATCAGAGCCACAGCCCCTGAGCCCTTTCCTCCCACTTCCGACTCAGCCCCCCAAGGGTGCACAAGGGGACAACTGAGGGAGTTGTTTTGCCTCTTGTCCCATTTCCTAAGACAAGCAGTATTTTCACTGCTTCGAGCCATGACCTGGCCCAATAACCAGCCACAGGTCCTCTGCATTTTCCCTGCACAATTTCCCTGTAGGGTTTCCAGCGGGGTCAGTGATGCGCCTGGAAAAGAGATGTCCCTGAATGTGAGAATGTGATCGTGTTGGGGAAGAGGTCTTCGCAGAGGAGGAGCCCACCCTAGGTTATCTGGGTACCCCTGAATCCACTGTGGGGTCCTTCCAGAGACACATGGAAGTGGGCGTGCAGGTAGGTGGCAGAGAACTAGAAACGCACACAAGAGAGGAGGCCATGCGACCACAGAGCCAGAAACTGGGGTGACGCAGGCACCAACAGCCAGGACAGAGACACAGAACATTTGCCCCAGAACCTCGGTGGGAGAGTGACCACAGCTTCATTTCACTCCTCTGACCTCCAGAACTGCGAAAGGCGACGTCTGTTATTGGAAGTCACCAAGTTTGGGGACATACGTGACAGCAGCCACTGGAAACTGATGCAGACGAAAGCATTGGCCCGCAGGAGTTCATCTGCCGGAAACCGGGTCACTCCAGATCCTAGGAGGCCTTCAAACCCAGGCTCAGGAGTGCGCAGAGCAGCGACCTCAGGGCTAGGACCGCGTGACCTGTGAGTCTCGGGTGTCCAAAAGAAAGCGTGGACACAATTTACACGCTTGTGTCTCTCACACTTGGGAACTTGGGGGCACGGGGCCTGGAAGGGTACAAGAAGGCACTGTGACCTGGGCAAACTCTGACTTTCTTCCCTTCTTCCTTCCTTCCTTCTCTCTCTGTCTCTGTCTGCCTCTCTCTCTCTCTCTCTCTCTCTCTCTCTCTCTCTCTCTCTCTCGGATGAGAGAAACCTTGGCCCTGTCTTTTCTATCAAAGGATACACACAGGACCACTTTCACTGGTCCGCCCTAGGCAGCCCCTCCCAAAATGAGGGGAAATGCTTGCTCAGTGCAAATGCTAGGAACGTAGCTAGGACCAAGATAGTTTATCAACAGCCAGGAACCTTCCGTTCCCCACACCCTCCCCTCCCTTAGCAACCCTGCCCAGCTCAGGTCCACCCTTTGCTCCCCTTAAACTAGCCAATCAGGACAGACTGTACGCCTTTGAATTTAGCCAGTGAATTTAAAGGATGGCTGTTCCCCCACCATCACCCCGAATTAGGTCTTAACCACCACCTTCCCTGCTCTCTATGGCTTGGGAAAGGAGTTTTGCCTTTCTTCTCCCCATTTGGTACTAAGGTTAAACGCAAGGCCTTCACACAGAGCTGCACACTGAGCTGCATCCTCAGCCCATTTTTTATTTGGAGACAGGGTCTTGCTAAGTCACTAAACTGCCCAGAATGGGCTGACACTGATGACCCTCCTGCCTCAGCCTCCCAAAAAAAACCTTCTTAGGGGCTGGGGATTTAGCTCAGCAGCACAGCACCTGCCCAGCAAGTGCAAGGTCGTGAGTTCAATCCCTGGTACTGAAAAACAAAACAAAACAAAACAAAAAAACAAAACCTTCTTGGTCTTTTAATGAACTTTCTTCATATATTCTGTATTTTTATTTACTTAGCTGGTAGACAATTTCAATACTTACCTTACTCTTTCCTTTAAGTAGTGTGATAGTTTTCTATTGTAAGCTACTTAGATTCAAGACTGAGTCATAAGGGAATAAAATAGCAAAAACAACCCCCAAAACTGCTGACTTTTGCTTTCAGTTTTTTTTGTTTGTTTGTTTGTTTGTTTGTTTGTTTTTTAAAGACAGGGTCTCTCTATGTAGCCCAGGCTGGCCTCAAACTTGCAGTGATCCTCCTGCCTCAGCCTCCCAAAGGCTGGAATCACAAGTATGCACCACCAAACCTGGTGATTTAAAAATAAAAAAACAAAACCACTGCAAAACAGAAAGAAAACACTCTCGCCCATCATATTCCATCAAAATCATGCAGCGTCCGCGAGGTCTGTGTGCCGTATTCCCTCAGGGCAGGCTGCCCCCTACTACACAGACCGCAGAGCCGCAGCCACCATTTCCCCAGGCAGCGGAGGCCCACATGGCGCCAGGCAGGCAGGGCAGCGGGATGGCTTTGGCGGGGGCCTCGCTTGCTCTCGTCACTCACGGCGGCTTGAGGGCAGCTGTCCTGGTCCCGCCATGGAGAAGCTGAGTCCAAGACCCAGTCAGCAGCACCACTGCCACCAGACCCGCATCCGCTGGCCAAAGGCATCTTGTACTGCGGGGCCACAGGCTCGCCTGTCACTTCCTTAACACAGCAGGTGCTCTGCCGCTGAAGTCCCCATCCTGTCGCCTGCTGGGGACACAGAGCAAATCGGCTTTTTAATACTCAGACCTGGAGAAGCAGCAGAGAGGAGCCGTCTCCCCACAGCAAGCTTGCTCCCGGGGGACCTCAGTGAGGGACGGCCACTCCCTGGGCCACACTGTGCCTGCAGACGTAGGCATGGCGTGTGCACAGACAATGGTCACTCAGAGCCCTGTCCACACTTGCATGTGTGCATAGGCTCCTCGAACTCAGGGCCTTTACCCCAGCTCCGCCGAGCCTTCCAGACGTGTACCTCGTGATGACTGGCATGACGGCAACCTGGACAGGATCCCTGCTCCAGGAACGACAGGAGATTGGCTCTCGGCAAACCTGTTGCAGGGACACTTACAGAACACGGTGGTGCACACAGCAAGGGGAGGCTGAGGCAGGAGGATCATGCGTTCAAGGCCAGCCTGGGCTATGTACATAGCAAGACTTTGTCTCAAAAAATGAAACCAAACCAAACACAAAAGTGCTGCCAGGGGCATGGCTCTTAGTGCTTTTGAAGGACAGAAAGATGGTGGCAGGGTGCACCACAGGGGTTGGTATGAGGGTTGAGTGGACCCAGGCAGGGCCGAGGCCCCAGCCTGACAGGCCTGAAGAGTGATGGGCACTATTCTGCAGAAGGACCCTCAGCCGGAACTGTCTGATATCCTCGCGAGCAGCCTGGGCATGCGCAGAGGCAAGGTGCCCTCCTCATCATTCATCTCCAGGGTACAGATGATCCCAGGCATCATCGTCCCTGTCATGGCTGAAGCCACCTTGGCTGAGCTGTCAAGGTCAGGTCGTTCCACTGTCAGGTGAACCCCTCCTTTCGGCACTCTCCTGTCGGGGAGGAGGCTGCTGCACCGGCCACACTGAGGAAAGCAGAACATGTGCCCAATTTACTCGGAGCTCTGCACACGAGATTTACCTTCTTCCCTGGTTGATTTTATCAGCTATTTATTTTAGGTCAGTATGGGATCAGGGGCATTTATCTATTTTCCTTTTTGCAGGGCTGTGGATGGAACCCAGGGCTTCAAGCATGCAGGCGAGTGCTCTACCACTGAGCCACACCCCACCCCTCATGGGTTATTTGTTTCCTACTCTGGGTGATAATCCAATGCTGTATTCACTCGTTCTCGTGCTCCAGTCACTCCAGCTCTGGCGATCAGGCACCCTCGCAGGCTGGCTCCTGTGTCCTTTGATATCTGTCTCTGTCCTGGTGAGTGTTTTCTTTGTTTTTGCCTGGGGAACACTTCCTTGCTTTCTAGCACTAGCTCATCTTGTGTGTTTCCCACACAATCCCAGAATCAGCCATTTCTCTGAGCAGTGCTGCTCCCTTTTATTGGAGAGTGGTGTTAGAAACCAAGATGGGCAGCGGGCATCCTGCTGCCAGCCCAGGACTGCCTCAGAGCTCTCACAGTTACAAGTGTAAATGCACAAGTGTGACAGTCAATCTTAACTGTCAGCCTGAATGGCTTGAGAGATGCATGGAAGATTAGTAAAGCACGCTTCTGGGTGTGCCTAGGTGGGTCACGGATGCATGACCTTGGGGACTACATCTGGCCCCTGCCCTTCCTCTTGGGTTCTTCCTCTGGCCTCCGCTTCCTGGATGCCCTGAGGTGAGCAGCTTTCCTCCACCACACCCTTCTGACTTGGTATTTCTTCCACCTTGGAACCAGCCTAGCATGGACTAAAATCTCTGAAACTGCGAGTCAAGATAAGTCCTTTCTCCTTTCAGTTGTGTATGTCAGGTGTTCTGTCACAGCAGTGGAAAGGTGACTAATGCAGCATGCTTGTCAACAATTCTATGCGTACTGATCTCTATGTTGAGCTACACATGGTCTTATACCAGTGGCTCAAGCTTTAATCCATCACCACACGGATCACTCTGGCCTCTTTCCCTGTTATCTATAACTTCCGCTCCAACAGTGGTAAATACAATTCCTATGTAACAGGGGTCACACCTTTTGGGTTGTCTTTTGCAGAGTTGCTTCCCCTTCCTTTGCCTGGCGTTCTAAAGAAAAACTACACCTAAAAAAAAAAAAAGAAAGAAAAGAAAACCACACCTAAATGCTTAAGAAGTTAACTGCTAAATAATCTTTTTTTTTTTTGAAGCAGGGTCTCACTATGTAGTTCAGGGTAGCCTTGAACTCACTAGGATCCTCTTGCCTCAGCCTCCTGAGTGCTGGGATTACAGGTGTGTACCACCACGCCTAGCTCTAAATAATCTTTAGATTGGTGGACCAGAACATGTGGTAACTCTCAGAGACGGCACAGTGCGTTCACGCCCTTCCTTATTCTCTAATTCTGCAACTCAATCCACACAACACAGGTAAGCTGCTGTGAGCTTTAACTTGCAGAAAACATGTCACATGCTTATCTAAAGAATTACAAGCACTAGCCTCACGGGGGTCAGTATCACTTGCAATGTTTTAGCCTACAAGAGTGAAAAGAAAAATAGCATGATCGTTACCTATGATGCGTCAACTCAATTTGAGTAAGAACCCCTTAACACAGTGGTGGCAAACCTATGTGCTGCAGGCAGCTGTTTTTTATCCTTGAAAGCTCTAAAAGGTTTGCCATCACTGGTTTAGCAGATTAGTGAAGCTCTGGGTGTGTCTGGATGATTGACACACAGGCCACAAACTGAGAAGGGAAGACCCATACCGGATGTGGGTGGCACCAACAAATAACCCTGTAGCCTGGACGGCATAAAAAGGGAAAGAAGAAGGAAGTCTCTTCTTTGTGTTCTTCAGAGGAGCCCCAGGTTACACCATCACCTTTGGATATTTATCTCTAGTTCCGTCAGGCTTCCAGCACAGACTCAAGCTTTCCAACACAGGCTCACATCAGACTCTGCAGTGAGCTCCAGGCCTTCGACCCCTGACTGGCTCCTCCAGCTCTCCAGGGTGCAGTCGGTCATTCTGCATTCTTCCACCCCTGACTCCACAGGCGGTCATTGTAAGTCTATCCTGTAACCCTTTATATAATCACACAGATACTTTGTATTAAATCTTTTCCTTTAGTGAACCCTAACTGATACAAAGACACACACCCTGGATGCTGACAAAGATCTTGCCCCGCACAAGCTCTTCCTGCCCTCGGCTCCTTGCACCATCTCTCCCTCCCCATAAAAGTTCTTTCGGGCACAGACGTTTGGTCATTCGTTGAGAGGATATGGTTTCTGTTTTTGGCAACTGCAGCTGTTGACTGAACACCAGTGCGGCGGTTGGAAAAACGGCCTAAGACTTCAGCACTGGGTGAAAGAAAATGGCCCGAACCAAGCAAAGTGCTCGTAAGTCCACCGGTGGGAAAGCCCTCTGAAAACAGCTGGCCACTAAAGCACTGCCTCTACCTGCGGGATGAAGAAACCTCATCACTACAGGGCTGGTACTGTGGTGCTTCGGGAGATCTTTACCAGAAATCGGCCAAGCTTCTAATTTGGAAGCTGCCTTTCCGGAGGTTGGTGAGAGAGAGTGCCCAAGATTTCAAACCGACTTGAGGTGTCAGAGTGCAGCCACTGGTACCCTTCAAGAGGCGAGGGAAGCGTACCCAGTGGGATTATCTGAAGATACTAATCTGCGTGCCATCCACACTAAGAAAGTCACCATCGTGCCTGCTGGATACTGGAGAGAGAGCTTAAGTGAAGGCAAATTTTATGGTGTTCTGTTTTTTT